TTCAACTATTATTTGAAGCACAAGAGCAAAGAGTTGATCATCATCACATCATCTATTACCTTTTGGAGAGTGATGTCTCCTAGATTGATTAGGTCTCGCTTGCGAGCCTCCGACATGATGTGGAGTTGAACCAAGAAGTTTGTAAGGGCAAGGAGATCGCCTACTTCGTGAAGATCTACTCGAGTGAGGCAAGTCCTTCGTGGGTGATGGCCGTGGTGGGATAGACAATGTTGCTTCTTCATGGATCCTTCATGGGTGGAGCCCTCCGTGGACTCACGCAGCCGTTATCTTCGTGGGTTGAAGTCTCTATCAACGTGAATGTACGATAGCGCCACCCGTCGGAACCACGCCAAAAATCTTTGTGTCCCCATTGTATTTGCCTTCTCCAAATCCTTCCTTTACTTAAATGTGCAATGTCTTACTTTTCATTGCTATACTCTTAGAATTGTATGTGTAGGGTGTTGCTTGACTTGTCATAATTGCTAAAATCTGTCTATAACTAAAATTGGGAAAAAGTTAGGTTTTTTTTGGTCAAGTAGTCTAACCATCCTTCTCTAGACATACTTTCGATCCTACATATCCGACTAAGGATCTTCAACGCTTGTAGTCATTGCTAGGTGGTCTACGGACCTGGATGTAATTTTTATTATTTCTGATGTCCGTTGTATTGCCATGATTAAAGATGAATAAATTGAAAGTTTTCTCGAAAAAAAGCTCTCTCAAACAGAACTTTGATTTCTCATAACACATAGGCACACACATGTCTTCCGTGTTCTCGAAAGACATACCCTAAGTGCTATTCCATAAATAAATAAATGTCCATATTTCATTTGATTAAGACAACGCCTTTGTAAACAATTATCCTATTAACTTTCATTTTTCTAATTAAAATGGCATGGCAAATAAGTTCTTTTCAAGAGGAATACATCGACGTTAATTATATGTTCATATTTATTGATATCTAAATAAAATACGTCTTTTTTAGACTAATACACCTTATATTTTCGGGTATTGAAATGCCATGCCACCATTTTTTTTCACCTTTGGAAAGACACTGCACGTAGCTATCCCTTTTCAAACTTGCGCCTAGCTTTGATTTATAACTACGACGGTGAAAACGTTGAAATCAAGATAAGGCTATTCTGTCGTTTTGTGTCCGAGGGAGAATCAAAGGAGCGATACGTGTTCCGCAGGCGCAGATCTCAATAGCAATCGTACTCCCATTCAGGGACGTGGCGGCCTTTCCTGCTCTTTACTTTCTCTTTTAAAAGCGATTGCACATGCTCGTGTCATTGTTTGTACGAGACGGAATACTATGTGCAACCATCTCGCACATTTCATAAACGAGCCCACGTACACCGCATGTATGTAGTAGGAGTAGAATTTCTCTATACTCAGACAACCGGCGACGACTGGCAGGCAGGCAGGGCAGGGCAGGTCACGGGACCAGGTGTAGAGCTCCACTCGTCGTCATCGCATCGGTCGACGACTTAAGTGGCAGCAGCCACCTCTACCTTCCCGCTAAACCCTCTCGTGCGGTACGATGATTAAGGCTAACCCGCTCCAAATCGCAGGCCACGAAAAATTCCTCCCTTGGAGCTTTCCCCTTTCCTCTTTTTCTACTCGCTCTGCAGGGCCCTTTTTACTTGGTTTAATCGCTTGGGTGGTCCTCTTTACGCGGGCAGGCACTGTGGGTTGTGCCGTGCGCAGTGGCCAGGGGACAGCGGGTGGTGCCCCTGCTGTGAGCAGTAAAATCTATTGGCCTGATGATGGCACTGCGATCCGTACGAGTATCTATCTCTCACATCAATTACAATACGGAGCAAAAATTATACCGCTAAATTCGTATTTCAGTGATCCTGTAATTGATCTTGTTGGTTAGATTTACAATCAAACTTAGATTTCAGGATGTGTGGGCTCAGTATATTGTGGAATGGAGGAAATATTAGGATCTGTTTGGTTCCAAATAAGTCATTAATTTATAAGTCGAAAAGTAAAAAAAAATGACTTATTTTATCAAACAAACCCAACTTATAAGTCATCCCAACTTATAAGTCATAAGTTGCTTCATCCCAACTTAAAACTTATAAGTCACCCTCTTTTGCGTGGGTCCCACCATCTTTATATAAAAAAATAGAATGAGATGGTGTGGTCAGATGACTTATAAGTTAGGTGACAACCAAACAAACGTGACTTATAAATCACTGGTTTTAAGTCACCTGATTTATAAGTCAGGTGAGTTATTGGAACCAAACAGGACCTTACTACTGGTCTGGCATCATGTCCAGCAGCGTAAGGCTGGGTGTTCTTCATTCAATCCTCACCATGGATACGCGCATGATTTTTCAAGTTATTTACTGCAGGTTTCGGATGCTGTGTCATTAGCAGATTCGTGCCTGGCTGTATCGGGCAGCACAAGATTGAAAACACGGTTGAGCGATAACAAAGGCGATGAGCTGCAGAACCAGCCAGTTGAATATGCATAGGTCGTGCAAGCGTACAAGCAAACTGCCCTTGGTTTGCGGCCGATGTTGTCCACAACCACAAGCACAAGTAAACCATATCGTGCTTGTGGTTCTCTCCAAAACCAAGGCCACTCGAGCTTGCAATCGGAAATCACCTGTTCTGGTTCTAGGATGTTTACGCCTAGTCGCATGCATATCGCCGGTTGAGTGCTCTGAGAATCACGGGTGGCTTTGCTTCTTTTGTTTTCTTTCGAGATAAACAGCGTAGTCTCCACAGCTGGAATGGTCTTACGAAGGGATGATGGCTTGTTGATTTTCATGACATATAGATACATATTTCATTGTAACGATGCCTTTGAAGCGGAAATACATGCGATTATGCAACGGATGGCACCAACCATTCAACATTCGAATTTTTTGGTGATGGTACAATCAGATTCGGTTAATGCTTTAGCCATTCTCGCAGGCAACACCGACACTTTAGCTGCTGAGATTAGAGAAAATATGGATGTTAGAGAGTTTGTTCCTCAAAATAGGATAGCACATGAATTGGCATTTTATAGTCGTACCGAAGCTTGTACTGCGGTGTGGCTGAACTCGAGCCCTCCGTGCTATGAGGCTTGTTGTCTCGAGATTGTAACCCTATCATTACGGAATAAAACTCTTTTTCACCCCGCAAAAAAAATCCACCATTGATGTGCCTTGATATCATGCCTCTAATGTTCTGATGTTTACAGGTCAGTCAGTCCATCGAACACCACCACTGATGCACCTTGATTCACACAATGCTCGTCCCGTCCAACCACCGCCACAACTTGTCTTTCAAAGAGAAGTAGCCCTCCAAGCCTAATAGAACCTTGTCGGCCCCTCCCCTATTTGCAGTCTTGCAAATACGTCATCAACGTTCAACTTCATATCTCTGGGTGACGTCCCGCTGCTTTTGGAGATTTGGACGGCTCAAGGTTCATTAGAGTCATCCAATCGAGCAAATCGCCTACAAACTCCCACACAGGCTGGCGTAGGTAGCATGTAACTCTTCCTCGTTCCCAGAAAACCGATAACTCTTGCAGGTAAGACACAAATTAGGTGCTCCTACTGAAATGTAAAATGTTGTTCTTTCTCGGAAGATTTTACAAGACAAATTATTTAAAGTCGGTTAAAATATATATACTACAAAAAGACCATATGCTATAAAAAAGTGTAATTATATATCATAGAATAGTGCTCATCTTGTTCGCAAAAAAAAAGAATAGTGCTCATCTTATTAAAAGTATTAAAGGTACATTCGTTCATGACTTTGAACATCAAATTTAAACAACTCTTCATAAATTTGAAAATTATTCATGAATATAAAATATGCACGAATTCAAAAAGTGAAGAAAAAATAACAACAAAAAGGAAGTGAACAGCAAAGAAGAAGGATCCACGTGGAAAAACACAAAATCATAGAAAGCCAGGACCAAAAGAAAACTGCTCATAGCTACCAAATGGGCCGGCCATCCTCGCACGCACTGTGTGACTTGGCCCGTATTTTACACCACGTGTGTAGAATAGGGTTTGCCTTACCATCGATGGTTATGATAATATTTTTAGGGGTGTTACCATGCTTTATTGGACTGAAACTGAAAGTGGCACAGCTCAAAAAAAACTGAAAGTGGCAAATACATAAAGTCTAGGGGATTTAACAGCCACAGATTGCACCCCGAGTCCAAGGTAACAGAAAATCTCACTAAATTATGTGGCTCCTAGATATTATCTCGCTTCTCATGCAAAATGTGTACTTCTTCAAACTCCATCATCATCCTCTTTATATCATGAATAATTGGACTGCACCTACCCATATAGTTGCCGCTAAGATAGTTAACTAATCATGCACAGTCGGAGGAGATATGTATATTGGTTAATTGAAGATCATGCGCCAACGCAAACGTCTCCCTCACCGCAATAGCTTCCAGACTCTCGGGTTGCACCATATCATGTACCACCAACGCAGACGCACCTGCGTATCCTCCGCTTTGGTCTCGAGAAACCACCGCACATGATCCTTTATCTCCATGCCTCCCTACAACAACATAGACGTTGTGTTTCATATACACCTGCATGGGTTTCTTCCACGCTCCCCTTGCCGGTTGGTGACCCGGTATGAAGAAGATGGTGCCCCTATTGGTTTCTGCCAATTAGGTACCAATGCGAGATCTGCCAAGTAACTTTGCACAAACTGAAAATGCTCAGCGGAGACCGAAACTTTTCTTCGTGCCCACCATTTTTCAAAGAATCCATTATCTCCATAAGCAATATATCTAGCATCATGTGATTTGACTCGAGTGAGATGCTCAACAAGCTCTTCGTCTACAAGTGACCAGACACATTTTGCCGTATTACAATCAATCAGGCCGTGTTGCCAATTATCCTTCGTATTATTGCAAATCTAATTGAATTTCAAGCTTGTCGCCATGCAAAATTTCCAACTTTCCCCGAGACATTTACTCTCCACAATTTCTTCCATTGATTCAAGGTCGTAGCAGTGTTCGACGTTTATGGTTTCTCTTCTAGCCAATCCTCATGTCCGCGCTTCATATCAATGAGCATCCTTTGATCAAACCTCATAGTGAACATGTCGATCCGCTCATAGTGCCAGGCCGGGCAGTCATCAATGTTCCGTGAGCTTAAAGGAATGTTAAGTATCAGTTGAGCGTCCGGTGGCTGGAAATGTTTCATCTCTTTTTCTTTAGTCCATGAATCAGTATGTCCATCTATAAAATCTGAGACCCACTGTGGAGCATCTGGAGTTCTCGGATGAAGTGTTCTCAACATGAAATCATGAGGTCACCAGTTGTCCTCCCATGCCCGGATCGTCTTGCCATTCCCAACCTTTTTTTATCAGGCCTTGTTTCAGAGCCGAGATACCAGCGCACACCGCCCGCCAAATTTGGGAATGTTTGTTGCCTAGTTCAGCTTGCATCACATCTATCTTCAGGTACTATACGACCTTGAGGATTCTTGCACTAAGAGAGGTCGGATCTTGGACAAGCCTCTACGCTTTCTTAGCCAACATAGCTAAGTTAAACAGTTATGTCATGTGTCTTGAAATCCTAACCCTCCTTGATATTTGGGCATTGTGTGAACCTCCCACGACACCCAGGCCACCTTCCTTTCACCATTCTTGCTCCCCTAGAAAAATTTCCATAACATGGTGTCAATTTGTTGACATAAACCTACTGTAAGAGAAAAGACGGCATAGAGAAAGTGGCTATGATTAATTAATAGGCTGGTTTAGAGCAATGCACATGGACGCAAGAATCATATACGACCAATAGATATAATTCCTTTGTTAGGGGACCCCAATTCTATTTGGCGCAACGCCAAATAGTGTGTATTTTGTACAGGGGCAGAGCCCTACTCACTAGACTAAATGGGTTCCCAAACCATTTCTTCCCTCCACTCGTTTTTTCTTTTCTTTTTTTCCTTTTTTCCTTTTCCTTTTTTCCTTCTTCCTTTTTATTTTTTTCCTTTTTCTTTTTCTTTTTTCATTTTCATGAACTTTTTATAGATTCATGAAATTTTCTCAAATTTGTTTCAGATTCATGAACTTTTATCAAATTCGTGAACTTTTGTTCAAATTCATGAACTTTTTTTCCAAATTCGTGGACCTTTTTTGTATTCGTGTTTTTTTTCAAATGCGTGAACTTTTTCAAATTCATGAACCTTTTCAAATCGGTGAACTTTTTTGTTCTTCATGAACTTTTTAAAAGTTCGTTCACTTTCTTTTGTTTTTCAAATTCATGAATTTTGTTGTATTTCATGAACTTTTTCAAATCAGTGAACTTGTCTATGAAATTCTTGAGCACTTTTCAAATTCCCATTTTTTGAAAAATTGAAAAGCCAATAGTCAATATGTCAAACAGTTTGTTGCCAGGGTCAACCTTTCAGCAAACAAACCGAGCGACCGAACCTTCCTATCATCGAACTGAGTGTTCGGCTTTTTCATGGGCTGGCCCAATTGAGCATGCGTGTGGGCACAAACAAGATGAACCAGAGCTTAAGGCGTCGTATAGGAGCTCTCGTTAAGGGAGGGGAGAAGACTGAGACCTCCTACGCCACACGGTACATGGTGGATAACAGTCAAACGCGCACCCCGAGCACGCTTTGTGCAGACCTATGTGTGGGCTGCCATGTTTTTTTTACATTTTTGTTTTACTTTTGCTTTTTGAAATAAAAAATATGTTCATAAAATTTTGAAAAATGTTCTACCGAACTTCAAAAAGTGTTCACAAAATTAAATATTCTTAATTTTAAAAAATATTCACAAATTTGAAAACTGGTTTCAATTTTCATTTCTTTTCCAAAATTAAAAATTGTTTGTGACTTTGAAAAAGGTTTTCTTCTCCAACAAATTTTTACTAATTTTTTCAAAAAAACTAATTTTTTTAAATGTACATGAATTTGAAAAATATTATGGATTTTTTTAAAAAAACTTGAATTTGAAAAATGCTCCTGGATTTCAAAAACTATTTAGAAGTTTAAAAAGTTCACATTAATATTTTTTTCGAATTATTAAAAATGTTCAAGAATTTAAAAATATTACCATATTTGAAAAATGTTCAAAATTTAAAAGATTATGCATTTAAAAAAAACTTGATTATCAAAGAATGTTTTGAATTGAAAAAATTCAAGAGATTGTTTTTTTTAATTTGAAAAACATTCTTGAATTTAGAAATGGGTAAAGGAAAAAGGAGGAATGATTTTTTAAACGAAAAGAAATAGAAAAACCAGTCGAGGGACGAACCTTCCTAAATGAGTGACAAAAAGGCAAAGGAGCATCGGAGTGGGTCGGCCTTGTACCACATGTGTGGGTACATGATTGCTTCCTATCCACTGAACTGCACGCGGACTATGATCTACCAAGAAGACGTTTTAGGTTCATAAGTAGGTCTAGAGGAAGTGATTATGTTGCGAATTGTTGCATGGAAAGCAAAAAAATTACTACGCACACACAATAATTTATCCATAAAGATACATAGCAACGAAAGAGGGAGAGTGTGTCTATGTACCCTCGTAGACCATAATCGAAGCATTTCATAACGCGGTTGATGTAGTCGAACTTTCTTCGCGCTCCAACCGATCTAGTACCTAACGCACAACACCTCCGCGTTCTGCACAAGTTCAGCTCGGTGACGTCCTCCACCTTCTTGATCCGGCAAGACGGAAAGGTAGTAGATGAGTTTCGACAGCACGACGACATGGTGACGGTGACGGTGACGTGATCTCCGCAGGGCTTCGCCTAAGCACTACGAAAAAATGACCGAGGGAGTAAACGGTGGGCGGGGATGCCGCACACGGCTAAGACAATGTTGTGTCCTTGTATGACGTTTCCTCCATATACACACATATAGAGAGAGAGTAGCACTATTCTAATCTCGGTATCAAAATAGTTCTTTGGATCAGCGGCCCTATATACGCCCCATTAGGTGTTTCCGAACTCGCGAGACGGCAGTCAACCAAAAAAAATACACCCAACCCGATCCTATCGCCCGAAATCTCCTGCCCTGCCCCCAGATCGCCCTCACCCGCGCGACCCCCCCGCCCCCCTCTCGCTGCCGGCGACGGCCTCCGTCCCCGCGCCCCAGATCCGCCGACTCCGAGCCCCACACCCCGCTCACCAGCGCCGCCA